AAAAAAAAAAAATAGAGGTAAAATCATACGTGAGAACCTCCTCTTATATTCATAGGAGAAAGCAGATTGTAAACCTTTTAGATTTCGAATACCAGAGACCAGAAGACACGCAAGGATAGACCAACTGCTGAACATAACGGGACGCCAGCACGGCCAAACAGCTGCGTCACGCAAAAACGCCGAGAACCAGACGATGAAAAAATTCATCAAGGACAACGACCGGCTGACATTCCACCGGCACCCGGTGGCGCAGAGCTCCGAAGGCATCCGCGGCAAGGTGGGGCACGCGCGCGGCCTGCACGCCTGGCAGATCCACTGGCCGGCGCGGCAGCGCGGCACGCACGCCGTGGTGGGCGTGGCCACGGCGCGCGCGCCGCTGCACGCCGTGGGCTACACGGCGCTGGTGGGCAGCGACGCCGAGTCCTGGGGCTGGGACCTGGGCCGCGGCCGCCTCTACCACGACGGCGACCACCGGCCCGGCGCCGCCTACCCGGCCGGCCTGGCCCCCGGCGAGGCCTTCGCCACGCCCGACTCGCTGCTGGTGCTGCTGGACATGGACGCGGGCACGCTCAGCTTCGTGGCGGACGGCCGCTACCTGGGCGTGGCCTTCCGCGGCCTGCGGGGCCGGAAGCTGTACCCGGTGGTGAGCGCCGTCTGGGGCCACTGCGAGGTCACCATGCGCTACATCAACGGCCTGGACCGTAAGTCGGGGCTGGCCTGTGCGGCCGGGCTGGGCTGTGGGGTGAGGGAGAGGGGGTGGGGAGCTGGGCCTCAGTTTCCCCATCAGGTGTGGGGGGGCCCTGGGGAACTGGAAGCTGGGCCTCAGTTTCCCCCATCTGCAATCCTAATGTGATGGTGTGGGGGGGGGATGCAGAGCCGGGCCTCAGTTTCCCCATTTGCAGCCCTGACTTCACAGTGGGCTGAGGGATTCAGAACTGGGCCTCAGTTTCCCCATCTGCAATCCTGATTTGGTGGTGGGCTTGGGAGCTGGAATCCCAACTTTCGTTGTGGGCTGGGGAATTCAGAGCTGGGCCTCAGTTTCCCCATCTGCAGTCCTGACTTCGTGATGGTCTGAGGGATGATTCCGAGCTGGGCCTTCGTTTCTTCATTTGCAAATGGCCAGTTTCGGGGCAT